TTGTTACCTAAGTGACAGAGAATTTAAAGTAAAATTCAATGAATATATATTAGCCAGTCCCATCAAATCCAGTGTACCACAAGGAAGTATTATCGGCCCACTCAAGCACGTTTCTGTACGTACCGCTCACGTGACGGTAAACGTTGTGATTTTTAAATCAAGCCGCGATCAGTGACCGTGATTTTTTAACAACGGTGACCGTGATCACTAGATGGTTTTACTTATAATAATAAATTTACAATACTAACAATAAATTGATCCATTTAAATCACGCTTCTTAAATAAAACTAAAATTGAACTCTTAAGAATGCTTTTGTAAAAAAAAATTCAATACGTTTAATGACATTATTTTGAAAAGAAAAATATTAGTAGATAATAAAATAACATGCCTATTGAAATTAGTACTTTACCGATGTTAAATCAAAATATGTTATTATATACGGTGATATGTATACTATAAAACCATAAACATGGTTTTATGAGAAGGTGACGAAATTGGTAACTGATCACGGTTATCGTTAACGAGGAATGGTGGTTTCTAAATCACCGTGATTAAATCCCAGGTAGTGAAAGTACGTCCCATTAGATTCCATCTGTTCTCTAGAGAAACCTTAATAGGTACATTTGCCGATGAGACTCTTATCTTTACAAGAGAATCTAATTTATTTCAGATTTTTTATTTCCAAAGCAATACATAAACCAATACTAATTTTAGAAATAATTGAATCGGATAATTTGTTTTTTTCATAAAATCTATTATAAATAAATTATTTAGGAAGTTTATTGAAGAAGTATATACAGTATTGTCCAAAATAAACAGTATTGAAACTGAAACATAAATGTCTCTTTGTGCGCGCTGTCATATTCAAATTAACTAGTGTAGACCTGTCAAATAATCCTAAGACAATTAATTATTAGGGCCAAATTGTTAAAAATGGTGTTAAGTACAGAGGAGAAAGTGTTTATTGCGGAGCACTATTTTCGCTCATACGGAATCGGCCGACGTAATAGTGCAAGTCTGCAATACGTGTGTGATCATTCCATACATCGGTTTAATAAACGTTCTCCAAGTAATACTGTAATTTGAAGGTTGTTGAAAAGTTTAGAAATACCTACGATTAATGTATTGTGCCAACGAAAAATAAAGTCAGGGCGTCTCAGGCCAGTTAACAACAAAGATAACCATGAACGTGTTTTTGAGCGAATCTTGGAAAACCGAAGCCAGCCAGACAAGAACAGCGTTGCATCTTGGCTTAAAACAAGTTTCCTTGCAAATAATCCTGGAGGAGCTGGGTGCATTTTCGTATGTGATTCAGGTACATAAACAATTACATCCCAGGGATTATCACAGTACAGTGGAATATTGTGCCAGAATTCTTGCATTACAGTATAAAAATCCTGAATTTTGAAAAATGTATAGTTTTCAGACGAAACATTTTCATTTGTCAGGCTATGTAAATCGTAGCACAAATCGATTTCTGGCCAGACCAGATGAAGTCCAAGAAGTTCCTTTACATAGCGCAAAACTGCCTGTCTGATTTGCCGTTCCGTGACACAGAATCATTGGTCCATATTTATCAAAGAAAATGGTAGGCTACTCACACTTAATCAACAGAGGTACATACAAATTTTAACACGCTTTATCCCTGATCTACGTCCATTTTTGTCGTGCACGTAATTTGACACTTCGAGACCAATTTTTCCAGCAGGATGGAGCAACTTGGCATACTGCTGTCGCAGTTCGTTAATTTCTTCAGGGACATTTTCCAAACAAATTCATTTCACAATTTACTGACTTCCCCTATACTGCACATTCTCCAGACGTATACATTTAGGGAGTGGCTAAAACTGCCGTTTTTAAACGTGCACCACAAACTATCAATGAGTTAAAGGATGCCGTTAGAGCCTTCCTCGCGGATTTGAGACAACCTTTATTCCATAACATTACCAGAAATCTGTAATATCGGCACAGAATAATAAACAATCAGAATACCCACTCTTAGATGCCGCCTTTAAATTTTTTCAGCACGCGCGCCATGTTTTAGAAGGAAACACATAACACAGACATATGATTTGTGAGGTTATGTAATTGTTTATATCATGTTTATATTATGTTTATATCATGTTTAATTATATTATATTTATGTTATTATATTTAAAAATGTTAATATAATTGTATAGTATGTCTATGATTGCCGTAAGTTAACTAAACCGGGTTAATTTTTCTATGCACACCACACAAACAACACTGGTTCCCTCTAAAACATGGCGAAACGTCTGCGCGAACGAGATGCGCGTACTTAATTTTCTATGGAGAGTGGGCATTCTAAGTGTTTATTTTTGGCTATACTGTATTAATCATAAATATTTATTTTTTACAATAAAATTTACCTTAAATATTACTAAAGATAAATAAAAAACCAAAAAAAAAATGTTTAAGCTAATTAGATGGTTTATTTTTAAAAATGTGTCTCAAATTGTATATTCGCAATGTGCGTAAAAAGTACATACAAATTAAATTAAAAAAGACGTAAACAAAAACCAGAGATATAGTTAACAGCTTTCTCCCCCTCCATCGCTTCGGCGAGTTTCAAAGTCGGCTTAATTTGAGGACCAGACTTTGCAGCTTTGTGGGTTCCGTTGAAAGGTAATCTTTTGTGTTTTTATTGCTTAGTTACCAAATACGTAATAGTGTACTTTATGGCCCGCACGGATGTAAAGATACAAACAAAAAGATAACTTATTAGAAACATAATAAACATAAACTTTATTAGAAAAACGGCATTATGAAGTTTTTTATATGACCTATAAGTGTATTACTCCCAAATTTGTTTAAAGTGATTCACTTTTTGCCCATAGACAAAAAAAGAGGAAATTGACCATAAATTTTGTTAATGCCTAATTAAGTCCAAAAAATTGACTACAGGAAACACATAGGGTCTTTCTATAGAGGTTCGTATGATATGTCGTTTGCCTAGCTGGTTCAGTGTCATAAAAAGGGTATTTTTTGCTTATTTTCCTGGCTTAAATATGGATCAGGATTTTCTGTATGGAAAACGTTTTTGTATCTAAAAGTTCATGACTTACTTCCTTTCTATTTTATACAAACATAACAAGACGGTAACTCGGCTGGGTCATAATATTATATCACTTCTATTTAATTTTTATATTTTGGATTTTCATAATTCACAGTTGGATTTGGTGAGATGCTTACACTATTTCTTATGAAAAATGTTAAAAGAAACCTATTAGGGAGATCAACGCTTTGCTACCCGAGAATGCCATACCAATTGTTCCAGAATTTCAGGGTCACAATTGATATAAAGCTAGTCCTCCTCCTTATTCCTTGAGACCTTGTCAGGGTATGGTGATATTCTAAATATTAATAGCTTGCTATCTCCATTGGCTGCTATCCTGTGGTAAATGGACGGCTTCATGTAGGGATTTTCCCACCAGAGTCTTCATTTGGTGTGCCCATCGTGTTAGAAATCTTCCTCTTGGTTTTCGGCCCTCTACATTTCCTTCTGCTACCAATAGATACATGATCTTCGTTTTTCTAGATATGTGGAAGAAGTAAATTATATATGCCCGCCAGGTTTACTTTTTTTTTAAAGCCTGTCTTTTATATGAAGTTCTTCCAGAGATGACTGGTAGGTTATATGTTCTGTCCAGGACACGCGTAGAATTCTTCTATAGACCCACATTTGGAAGGCTTCGATCTTACTCGTATTGGTTTGAAAGTCCACATTTCAGCTGCGTATGTTGTAATGGGAACAATAAGGGCATTAACCAACCTTAGCTTAGTATGTTATTGTTTGGCCTTTCCATATTTTAATTAGTTTAGCTGTTGCGGTTGATTTCTGAGGAGCAATCTCCATTGTTGGTTATATCCAAGTATACAAATCTGTCTACCACTTCGAAATTAGCCACTAGACGTGCGGTAGATTATGATTATTACAGGCAAGATATCAACAAAAATAGCCAAACATATAAAAAAGAAAAGAATAACACCTGTGACGACTCCCCAAAAACTTACATCGGTTAAACTGATAGAACTTTTATCAAACGTATAGCAGAGCATAAAAGGGTTTTCAATAATAGAAAAACAGACTCTACGTACGAACTTCACCTTCTAGACCATAATCATTCTTTTAATGACGAATTTCAAATTCTTCACATTCAAAATAAAGGTCTTAAGCTATCTTTATCGAAATCTATGGAAATCAACCAATTAAAAAACACAGACATAATTGTGAATGACCAACTTGAGACAAACAGTTCTCTCCTCCTAAACTTATTCAGTTAAAGACTATAAAGTGTAAACACATAACACAAATAGATCACTTGAGAAAGGAACTCTGATCGAAACATCTGTAGTAATAATAATTTAAAATAAATTTTGTGGAAATGTTGAACACAAAAGTTTTCAGTGTTTTATTATTATTTGCTCTGTCTACGATCATTATTTTTGCTTTTCCGTTCAGTGATGGTAATCATTTTGACTTCATTCGCTGCTAGTATAAATCTGCGTATCGCATATTGATGATTTTTCTGCTCCCTACAGTGATTCCTACATTCCATTCGTCTAGTACTAGTCTCATTATAAATTCAGAATTATGTTGTATAATAATGGTGAGAATTCTACTACCTACCTACTAATAACGCTACTATAACATTTAAAATAATCTTAGTATTCATCAGAGTTGTTCCTCGTACGCACTTATGACAACAGCGAGGAAAATATCTTGTACACTGTGTTCAAGAGTTATACTACTTTTTTACACTCATACCATATTATTTTAATACTAGTTCATCACTAGTCTGGCGTTTCTTCTCTATTCCAAACTTTAAGTATTATTTTGTACATTGTGTATACCGTGAGACCATGATCTCACTTTATATGAGACCAAGAAAAGAAAAAGTGTTTTCGATGGTATATATTTAAAACTTAACATTATTTTAATAAATATTTACATTTTCACAAAATGTAAAACATTTCACACGCACGATCTTTTCTTTTACTTTGGTCTCCAAGTAAGGCTGCTTTTCTTCACAGAAGACGGATGAGAAAACGGACACTCGGCCTGATTTTTACAATATTTTCCAAATTTACACAACTTTGGGTGAAAAAAAGGGCAAGTAATGTTGGTGCATTTCGGAAAAAACCTACAAATCTGGGGCTGGACTACTGGTAACTTCATTGCTAAACTGGCACTGTTAGCGTGGCTGTATTGGCAGTCCCTTTTTGTACACGAAGCGCCGAACTTGCAAGAAGGGTGTAGGAACATACATTTTTCGCCGTATTTACAGTTCGGAAATGCTTCGCAGGCGGCTGAAGGATGTACAAATTCGCATTTGTCGCCTTGTCTGCAGTTTGGCCAGTACTTGCAGCGTTCTTGAGTTTTCACTGATGCTGGAGGATGCACGGTCAGAAGAGAGTCGGGAACATCGATTTTTTTGGATACCTAAGAGATAAATGTCTATAATTTAACAATAGATGATAAATTATCACAGGGTAGATCCGTTCGTTTTTTGCACATGTATGACATTTTTTATAGTACGTTGCTTTTCTACTCACGCAACTTAAAATTATGAAATTAACCCGCTTGTTAAGACAACAATATGATGAAAGACGTGACTGATATTGGATTTTTTAAGTTTTGGCAATGTAAACATGACAGCGGTCTTTTATACCTAGTTTTATTATTATTCTGACATATATACATAATCTTGTTAACTGTTGAAGATTAGGCGATTAGGTAGGCAGTTGGCTGGTAACTTTGGTTAGACTCAGACGTGATCGCCATTTCGAGTAAGGATCCGCATGTTCCCTTTTGGCTAATCATTAATTATCGACATTATGTCGCTTTATTTTTAATAATATAACATTTAAAATGCAAATCAAAGGTTTTTTACAGATTTGGAAGTGGCTTTTTGTAAATGCTTCAGGTATAACTGATGGCAGTTCGGTAGGACCGAATAAGTTTTGAAAATCTATAATTCTTTTGGATATTTTCATAATTTTATAAATTAAACTAATAACACTAGAAGTTTTTACTTCCTTGTAAATTGTTTTAATACTAAATTACTTCGTAAATAATGCCATACTTGTACAAATATCCAACGGATAGACTGTATCTTACCTTTGTTGAAACGTTATCAAAAAATATTGGAGACGGAGATTTCTTCGCTGATAATCTTGCTTTTGCTGATATTCTAGGTTTTACTACAGCAGTCTCTTTCTCTAGCGACTCTAAAAATTCAGAGACACATTAAAAATTATATTGAATATATTAGTCTAAGCTTTACAATCACAAAATTGTAGCTGTTAACAGTTAAACCAAAAACCCGTTAATATAGGCTTACATGAATGATTTTACTATCCCTTCAATAAATATTATTGCAGTACAAACTGTTACAGTATTATCAAGTATTCTTCTTCTCTCAGTATCGTGCCCAGAGTTAGGTACTGGCACATGACCGATATTTTTCTGAATCTTGCGTGGCCTGTAACAATTAATCTGCTGATAAGCCAGTCCATTGACGAAGGTTCCGGAGCCTTCGTCTTGCCAATTGTAATCTTCTTATCAATTCCTCTCTTTCCATCTATGTCTTCGTTGAGTACTAACCGCAGTATCCAATATCTGCTGCCTTAAATTATATGCCTCAAGGATTCAAGTTTTCTCTTTTTATCCTATTTGTTAAGCCACCTTCGCCTTAACCTATTATGTTTAATTCCTCTATGTTAAAATGTATCGAATCCATGATATTTTGAGCACTTTACAATAAAAACGCATCTCGAAGACTTAATCTGTTCATCATATTAAATTTCATGATCGAGGTTTCACATCCGTAGTTCTACGTTCATCTGACGATTGCGGAGTATAGGGCTAAGTTTCATAAATGCTCCCGTTGTCGTTAGTATATGGGTTTTAATATCTACATTGAATCTAAAGATATTCAAGTTACCGTTGGAATTGGTAACATGGCGACGTATGACTCTACATAGGTTACATGGTCCTGGATTTTACCCATATATTTTAGTGGCTCATAGCATGTATACTTTGTTACACTGATGATGGAATTTACATTCCGAAAACGTTCTGTAATGTAATTGTGATATAGCCCGTTTGGGTATTTTATTATATGCCTTTTATAAAAGATTTGAAATAAAAATTTTTTGAAATAAAAGTTAGTTTTTTTATTTATTCACAAGTTGTATCCCGTATTCTTTGGTAGAAATTTTACGACCTTTTAGCCTTTTCAATCAAAGAAAGACATAGACGGAGCCAGATCTGGCGAATGAATATTCGAATAATTGGAACGAAAAATCAGGCATTGATTGCATTGCAACGTACAATTTGTGTGCAAGACCATTGATCTGCAAAAATCAAAATAGTTTTGGACAACCTTCGGGTCTTCTCCCTATTTGTTCTCGGCTGGTAAGTAACGTCGAATAGTAATTCCTAGTTATTGCTCTGCCTTCATCGGGAAAATCAATAATAGTTAATCCTTGACAGCGAAGATTGTCACTCTGCTCGGCCAATAACAAAGAGTTTTATTAACTACGTTTGTATTGGCCTTCCGATGGAAGATCGCTGCGGAGATGCAATCAAGAAATTCATAAAAACGCAGCGTATCTTCCGATCGGTATCAAGTGCGTCTATCAAATTGGTTACATCAGTCTTTGCTGGTTTCATAGACGAATTCGTGAAGGTCTACATGGATGATATTATCATCTATTTCAACTCCTAGGATGACCATTAAAAACATCTTCATCTCGTCCTAGAACGACTCAGAACACATGGACTCTGGATGTCACTGAAGAAATGTCGATTTGCTACCAACACGTTAGAGTATTTGGATCACAAAGTAACCGACATAGATACTCAACCCTTGGAAAAACATTGTGAGAAAATCCAAGGTTTACAACGAGCCAGATCAGTTACACAGCTTAGAAGTTTATTAGAAAATTTAATATTATATTATATATTATATTTATATATATAGAAAAATTATGACAGCAAATTAGCTCCAAGATTTTGTTCTTAACTTCGTAGTCATTATCACTCCCTTGACTGACTTGACATCAAAGAAAAGTATTTCAAATGGACGGCAGAGGCCGAAGTAGCTTTCAACCAGTTAAAAACAGCCTTATCTGAAGAACGACCAGAGATGAACCAGCCATTTAGCCTGCAGATTGATGCCTCCGAATACGGTATGAGAGCCGTCCTGTTCCAAGGCTCTGTCGAAGACAGGAAGATAATAGCGTATACTTCCAAAACTTCGGCCAGTCGAACGGAAATATCATATAAATGACAAGGAGTGTTTAACAGTCATATGAGCACTCAAGAAGTTTCGTCACTTCCTTCAGGAGAAAAAGTTCACTCTTCTCACCGATAGTACAGCGCTGCTATGGTTACATCGATACCAAGCCGACAAAGCCAAACTGTCCAGATGGTCACCGCTACTACAAGAATTCAACTTTGAGTTGATTCACATACCAAATGAAAATCAACTTCCTGACCACCACTCCAGAAACCTAGCAGAAAATGACCAAATCGCAAAAGATGAAGATAATGAAATTGACCGCATCTCCTGGCTAACCCCGTCTACAGTAGAAACCGAACCTGAGGACTTTTCGCTACTTTGTCTCCTAGACGAGGACGAAGAGGCTGCAGAACATTCCATCCTCAATGACCTAAAAGATATGTCTCTGCAAGCCCGAATTGAAAGAAATCAATAAGTCCACACCGGCATGCAATCAGGAAATTGGAATACTTGGGCACATCATGAGAGGTGAAAAATACGAACTACTAAGGAATATAATGCAGGTTAAAATCAAAGGCAGAAGAAGTGTAGGAAGACGTAAAATCTCGTGGCTATGCAATCTCCATGAATGGTTTGGAAGTAGTTCAATTGAACTATTCAGGCGCGTAACCAACAAAATTATAATTACCAGAATGATTTCCAATCTCCGATAGGAGTAGAACTTGAAGAAGAAGAAGGCATGCAGAGATTTATTCGACGATGACAACATATCACCGCCAGAGGCACGAGAAACGAGATCGAGCTAATCCCTATCGATAAATTCACGGTAGACAACAACATAGTCTACTATACAGCCGCCGAAGATGCTCGAAAAATCATCGTACCAGAATCCTTTAGATCAAAAGTCGTCGAATGCTACCACGATAGCGAGGAAATCAACCACCCCGGCCAAGAGGAGCCAAGGACCATTAAAGAGGTTTACTACTGGCCAACCATCTCCAAGGATGCCTAACCATTTAAAAATGGATTAACTTTCTAACCATTTGTTTTGAAAAATTTTACTTTGCATATTTTGTGAAGACCGATTTTGTCAGCTATTACAGCTCGACAAGTGCCGTATCTATTTCAGGATTTAATAAATATTGTTAGTGACTTACATATTGTTACGAGGTCTTGTTTGTAAATTTGAATCGACACATTGCTGTCATCTACCAAATGTTATATATTTAATAAAAAAAATATATGTACTTGTTTATATGTCATGTTTATACTTTTTCCATGTTGTAACCTCTTTTACGATTTTGTAACTTATACTTTACTATGGAGATGTCGCCAGAGGGGCCAATCACAGAGAAGATTGTCACTCTGGCCGGCCAATAAGAAAGAGTTTTATTAACTACGTTTGTATTGGCCTTCCGGCGGAAGATATCTGCAGAGTTGCAAACAAGAAATGCATAAAAAGGCAGCGTATCTTCCGATCGGGATCAAGTACGCCTACATCTTGACCCCAGCTATACCTTGTTGGTCGAGTGCCTTTTCAATTATTTCTGCGTTTATATTACCTGAGTGAATATTTCTTCCAATTAAGAAGCCAGCTAACAGCTCGGAGAGAACGCACCCTGTCCGAATAGGCATCGATTTTTGAAATAGAGAAAGATGGGTTGTCTTAAAACTATTTCAGATCGTGTTCCACTCACACAGCGTTCCACTAGACCACCGACAATTAGGAGTAAATAAAAGCCCCAGGCGGACTTAGAATTACTCCTCAATCGCTGGCCGAGCTGAAGTAGCACTTTGTCGCTAAAACCTTTCGACGTAAATAATAAAAGTCCCAACGGGGCTTATGATTTGGCGGTACAGAGTGAAGGGCCAGCGAACAGTTAACACTCTGCCGACGTTCCTATACACCTCATGGACTGTGTACTCGGCCACACGTTGAAGCGTCTCTGCGAGATCCAAGGCATCCACCGTGCTCAGAATACTAGATAAATTATATATGTAAGACAAATATATTATTCACGTAAGAAAAACTCGAACTGTCTAAATATTCTGCATTGCTGGTGGCCCCTTGTTGACCACAGAGTCTCCGCAGAGTCAGAGTGAGCTTCTCGCCAAGTGTGGAAACAAGTACATATAAATTCCACGAGTAAGAGGATGTAAGTGAAAAACCTTCGTTCCACCTTCAGAGCGGCGGTCGAAATGGACCAAGAATCTCCGAATACCTCGGAGGATGCTCTGACCGTACAACACTATATTAATTTAAAATAAGTTCATTTACTTATACTCCTACTACTATAATTCAAAATAATATTCGTTAAAATGTTAGTTACTGCACAATTATTTCTTCTAAATGTGATACCTTTTCATGTAAATTGCAATAAACAAATGTAAAATTTAAAAAAATACGACTTCTGCACAGATTCACATTCAACCGAATAGTGAAATGCTGCACATTTTGATAACGGTTAGTATCAAGGTCCTATTTATAGATCAGAAAAATAAAACTTATAATGACGATTCAACAATTTATATTTCTGAGATTTATGCATAAATATAGTTTATTATAAACATTATTCAACAAGAATAAACCAGTAAACGATAAAAATGGACCAATATAAAACTTATATTATTAAAAAATGTGTAAATCTAAACAAAGTCAGATAATTTGCCCAACAAAAATTATAATTTATACATGCAGACTACAAAATATGTAGGTATGGAAATTTTTTCTTTAAATTTAAACAAATTTTAAGGGTTAAAAAAATATATTTTCAGTGATCTATAAATAGGACGCTGGTTTATAATGGATTAAAGTTGAAACATTGAAGCGTTTGAAATGTAGACTCTACAAAGACTCCTACTAATGCTATGGACTACACAAAATGAATTTAAAGAACTAGGTTTAGTACTCCTATTATTCCAGTTTTGTAGACAGAAATATTTTACCAATATCACCGAGTTGTTAAGTTTCTCTGAAAAGGAAAATTAAAGTCGCAGAACAGTGCTACATGCTTTTCTTTAAATGATGCAATTTGCTTATGATCGTACTTTCGATTAGTATCATAAGAAGCTGTTAAAGTTATATATTTTAATACATTTCCATTTGGTAGGGTAACAATTAATTTTATTACGGTGGAAATTGATAAATACTTCTTTGTTTTTATTTAATGCTATTACCACTTAAAAGCATTTGATTGCGCTAGGCTTATATATATGTTGTTATGATCTGAAAATGTAAAAAAATTTAAAGAGAAAATGAATAACCCAAATTTATAAAATATTGTTATTTCTACATGTAGATAAAAATAGAGAATTGAAAATAGGATATTAAATAATATTAATTTTAGTATTAGGTATGTAAAATAAACAAATTTGTTTCGTTAGCAAAAGTCATGGCCTCAACGGCCTACCGGTTTCTCTACCATTCTCTGGCCATTTTCTGAGAAGTGATTTAGTGCCGATAGTTGTGGACGACGTAAAAGTAAATTATTATTTTGTGAGTAAGAGTTAAAAAAAAGTGGCAGCAGTTTTGGTCTATGAATGCTGATTGGGATAAGTTGCAGTTTGTTTTGCAGTATTTGTTATAAGTACACACACGTTATTATTCATCGGGAGAATTATAGACAAGAAGATTTATGGAAGCCAAAAGAGATAAAAAGGATTGTTAGTACGTTTGATCTAGATTCCGCGTAAGCATACAAAAGGAAAGAGTTGACTACATAGTTTTTTTGATGAATCATAACGTTTGACTGAAACAAAACAAATAATTTGTAAGGTTTTCCTTTGTTAATTTTCCGTAAAGTAGTATCTGTTATTTGTTAAAGCTAATTTAATTTAGGCTTCGCAGTTTAATGTTTCAAGATAGGGAACATTGTAATTTCCAAGTGATTTGTTTATACGTGAAATAATTCCTCCAAGGGATTTTAACATTAAATTTAATTGTATTGAACAAATTTTATTGAATTTTATTTATTTCCTTCTACTCATGTTTAACATTAGCCAAAGGCAAAATTATTTCCGAACTTATAAGAACTGAGATATAAAAAATCTAATTAATAATTTGGCGTCTGTAAGTAATTATATTTTTGTTTGTTTGTTAACTATATGGAAATTCATTAAAATAGAAATTATCGCACAATTATAGAATGACAGACACGCCTAATTACACTTACATAATATATTTAACTTCTATATGAGGCTAATAAGGCAACAGTAAGGTTAGATTAGAAGATTAAGTCGTTTTAAAATAGAAAGAGGTTAGACGTGCGTCCAGTCCCCAGACCGTTTTAATCTATATGGTAAATTTGTCATGAGGAAGTTCCTAGAGGGTTAGACTAACGGTAGCTGAAAAAAGTCTCTAACTTTAGAGAGATTAATAAAACTAAGAAGTCTCTAAGATTAATAAAACTATCTTTTGCAAAGAGTATCGAGTATAAAAGCAAGTAAGTCGGTCTACACGTTAATAAAAGAAAGCAAGTCAAAGATAGACAAAGCGCACAACTACAAGGTTTTATGTCTACTAATAATGGAATTTGTGAAAAAGGGGGAAAAAGCTCTTTTTTTTCGATGGCCCTGTATAAATAAAAGGTCATACATAGAAAACAGCATGACAGAAACAATTATTTTTGTAGTAAAAACGTAGTTTTCAAGTGCTTCTTAACTAAATCACAGTCAAATAACTACATTGATATGATCTTCACGAAGATATATTTGTGGAATTATATATAAAGAATTAAAATCGTCCCCTAACAAAATCAAGTTTTATCAATTTATCCAGTTTTCTCCATTATTTAAAACATGTGTAATGAATTGATATAACGTTTTTATAATTGTGCCTTTACTATGCATTACTTGTAATTCGAATACATACGTACAGACAAGATTGTTTTTTCTAGCTCGCCGTGACGTCAGTAGAGAAGCCATGACAGTTGTAATGTTTCCAAAGTGAATGGTTAAAAAGCAATATATATATATATAAATGACCAACGGATATTTTCCCGGAATAATTGTTCAACATATTACTCCATCCGTGAAACACTTCAAACTAACATATATATATATATATATATATATATTATATATATATATATATATATATATATATATATATATATATATATATATATATATATATATACATTTTTTGAGTACAGTTGATTTTAAGGTAAAGTACTAACAAATGAAGGTACTCAAGACGACCTTCAAACGCTTTGGCGAAGCAGAAAATAACAACAACTCAGAAAAGAAGAAGGTGGCTATCAAATAAATCCAAAGAATTGGGAACTGGCAAATATACAGGAAAACTCTCACTGAGTACAATAAAGAGATAAGAAGAGCGAAAACGAAATCTTGGAGAAGTTTCTGCCAGAGTATTTCAGATATACCTCCTAGCACTCCTGGTGGAGGACTTTTTCTGATTATTTCGCTCTTTGACGCACGGGGACTAAAAATGCAGGCCTATGATGATTTAGTAATTATGGTAAGAAGAAAATATGGTAATGTTCTATCCAAAACACTCCAAAGAACATTAAATATTCTTACTAGGTGGTGTGACATGGAAACACTCTGTGTATATCCTAGTTAAACAGTACTAGTCAGATTCACAAGGAAACGGAGACTAGATCCTCTGGATGCCCGCTCTGCACGTAGAAACTATATATATATATATATATATATATATATATATATATATATATATATATATATATATATATATATATATATATTATATATATATATATATATATATATATATACCCAGTTTTTTAGGCGTCACGCCCGTCCGGTAGGGATCTATGGAGGAGTATCACCGAGCCACGAGCCCTTATCTCTTGCCGTGCTGCTCCACCATATTCCGATCAGATACCAGCATATTCTAGCCTAAGCCGCAGATTCATCTAGAATTTTAAACTGCTGCGTTAGACTTTTTGTTTTCTGTACACCGAGCTGGGGACCGAACCCACATCCACTAAACCATTCGCAGCGAAGCGAATGAGAAGCAGCCGCCCAGCTCGCTAGGCTATCTGACCGACGGAGAAACTATTAAAGAGGCAAATGAGGTCAAATATCTACGAGTAATTCAAGATAAGCGGCTTACTTATAACGCCCATTTGGTTAAAATAAGCAACAAAGCAAAGCTTTACTTTTGGACATATTTCCAAAGGGTTGAAAGATATGTGGCAGCAGCTCGAGCCGAGTAACAGTGTCATCTAAGGTCATATTAGACTTTGTTAAAAAGGTTGGGATGAAGGGACAAATTTAACCTATTATTCTAGGGAGCCACAATAGACCTCTTAGTAAAAGGGCGGTTAAGCGCCCACTCATACTGAACCTAACCTAACCTAAGGTAAAGTATTAACCAATTTTTAAGATTTAGTCAAGCAGTCTATTGTATGGTTACAGTTCAAAACAACTCTTTAGAATAGCTTGTTATAAAGCGAAAGTTAAGTGGTCAATTGCAAATATTTCATGACGAAGAAGGCACTTGAAGAAGAATCTCGAACATTCGCTCAACTTTAAATTGTCACAATTAAAATAGTTTATGTGGTCAGCAACTAACTACAATTTTAATTATTTATGTGCATTTGTTTTTAATAATGAATTCTTACCTTCTATAGATTTTCTGGAGGAAGGAACATATTCAGGGAGATCATCGGAATTATTTCTCTTAATCGGCTTAGGGACATACTCAAATTCTTTTTCTTCGTCGTTAGTATCGCTGCCGTCTTTCGAAACCTGAGCCAGTATGATGTTTCTGATTTTGCTTTTTGATCGCTTTGATAACTTCCGTGTACTAGGTGCATCATCACTCGAGTCTTCTGATAGTCTTGGAAAAGTCTAAAAAAATTAAGATGGGTGTGAACTAATAAAAGAACCAGAATTTAAAAATGATTTATTTAAATTTGTAATAATTTCACAAAATACATAAAAAGTGACTCTTGGAAGCAGGAGGCATAAAACTTAAAGCATCCAATGGTATTTGTTCTGAATTGTCACTAATGCTTATTATCTCCTTTACCTAATTCCGCTCCTAAAAAGACAAAGATGTCATCACATCATACAGATAAATATCATATGGACGGCATGATTTGACTTTCTAGGAGACTTGTGTTAAGGTGTAGTGTGATGGGAATATTTATTTAAATTTTGATATAATGCTCAATCAAATCAAGAGTATATTCGATTAGAATAAAAGTTAATATCGTAGAGATTATTCCTTAACTTGAAATTAACTGAACCAACTACCAAACTTACAAAATACCTTATTTCCAGCATTATTCCCCTGGGAAAACACTTCTTAAACTTGACTACAATACGAAGGCTTATACATTTTGTACAAAATAAAATAGCCTGCACATTTTTGTATTCATATTTATTTTTAGTGAGTCCTAATAATCTGTTTGAAAGTAGAATTTATATTATTGATATTTTGAGATAAAAAAAAACTTGGTCAACTCATTTATCAAACATGTACTCAATAGTTTTAACTCAGTATTATTTTAAACATTATCTAACATTTTATCAAAACTCATAATATTTGTGTTTCTTTAAACAACCATTCTCTAAACTTTTGCCACACCTTCCCCTCATAATTTTTCGACCCTATTGTTAACTTCAGAACCACCCATATCTATCATACCATAATATTTTACCATTTTCTTCACTCTTCACATCTACATCACATTCCTGTCAATTCTTCTCTCTTTCATTATTTCTTGGTCAACTCATATATCAAACATGTACTCAATAGTTTTAACTCAGTAATCATTCAAACATTATCCAACAATTTATCAAAATTCATAATTTTCCCCTATTACAAAAAAAATCCTTATCCAACATTGCTCACCTTCTCTTGGTCAACAACTTAGTAGCACACTCATACATCAAATTTTAGGTTTTTACAAACCGAATTTATTACTACTAAAATAGATTTTGTCCAGGGTGCTAGATGCTGTAAGCATGAAGGACCCCTATTATCTCTAATTGTTGATTAACTCCTTTTCTCCTTTAACCATCCCCTTCTTCTTCAGTCATTTCCTCTACTTTTATTCTCATCAAGTCTCCGAGGAGCTCAGCCTCTTCAATTTAAATTTAATCACATTGGTTATAACTCTAATTTCTTCAGCCTGTAGATTTTCAATTTACTAAACTTATTTTTATTAAATTTTTTCACCATACTAGCAGTCTTAAATAAAGTCATTTAAATACGAGGTCTTATATTAGCTTCAAATATTTGCTATTTAATTTTTACCTTGTTCTAGATGTGATTAACATAAAAGGATAATTTTCATATATATAAGCTAATCTAACATAAAATACACTTTTAGACCACATTCCATACGACAAAAAGTAACATAGGTTGCCTGATACACAGGTCATCCTCTTAAACATGACTTTAACACCGTCGGTGATTTCACATCTATTATAACCCAAATTTAAAGCCCATCTCATCTATTAAATCCCAACACCTAGATTGCTGTTATTATTTTTTAAAATCATCAAAATAATTTTTTAAATCTTTTGGCTGTAGTAATACTAGGTATAACTAATCCATGTTACATTGACATTTTGTTTTCGACACCGTTCATAGGTATATTGTCAATCAGTTTCCAGCTGTTCTCCGTATGTAGCGGTTTACTCTCCGGCTCTGGAACTCACTTCAGCCATGTATGTTACCTGAAGTCATATTTAATTTAATACTGAACATCACAGTTTTTTACCAACATGATGTATAATCTTTTACAACTATATGTAATTTAAAGGGTTTTTACCCATGTATTTTGGTGGCTCAGGCATTTGAACCTAGTAAGTATAGCCATTTTTGCTTTTTAACCATAGTCAAAATTTCATAACCACGTTTGTTTTAACTAAATGGTTTATACTTATTTTAGGCAATTTTAAAATTTAAACCTGATGATGGACTTAGTCCGAAAACGTTTGTTTTTTTGATGTAGCCCTTTTAAGGGTTTTTAAATAAATATACCCACTTACGAAGACTAACCTCTTTTTTGTGATACGTGGTATACATCCAGCTACAGGAATTGTTTTCCTTGTGGATTTTGAGATAGTTTTATCCTTTCTCAAGATTTTCGTAAAAAAATTATCTCGATATCTCTATTATCAAAGATTATATCGTCGGCCTAATTACCAAATCACATAAATATTTGTCGAAATTGACATTGTACTAGCATCTGGTAGAGAATAAAAACATCGTTTAGTTAAAGAATACCTCACAAGTCCCAAGAAATCTGCAATGGAATAATATTGAAAATATTACTTCACATGTCACACAGGTCAGTTGTAACAGATAGGAAAGCCACATAACTCCTGGTATTTACGCGCTAAACCCACGTGCGCGCTATAGGTCTTGTTAAGTTGTTAAATTTAGGCTGAAACTTGTACATTAAGAACTAATTGTTGTTATTCAATTGTGCTAATATTATCAATATTTTATAACTATTAATCAATAAATTATCTCATAATTCGGCTTAAAAGGTAACATTGGGACGTGATTTTATGTAGTTTTGGCTTTAAAGGAGTTTACGTAATATTGTCACACCCGGAAATATTGCTGATTCATAGCTATTAAAAGGCAAAAGAGTTAACGACGTTCTGGGGAGTGTATTCGATTTTAATTCGTAAACAACTCTCGGGGTGTAGAGTTGTGTTATAGAGGTAGCACCTTTTATCGGAACAACCACATCGAGTGTCATAGACGGGAGATGGTTCTTGATAACTGGTCCTTATAAGACAATTAATTATGGGCAACTGCGTTGGTCTGCAGACTAAACTAAGTAAGGGTAGCCAGATATGGCGAAAATTCCACCGAGCGATTGCTGGTATAAGCAATCCACCGTTTACTGGCCAACAGCTTCGGGTGGAGGAGGTAGTAAATGGTAGGGCACCATTTGTCCTGGGGTTAAGAAACTGGCTTCAAAGGCGGAAAAACCGTGGAAGCGGTCAACGGCATAGAGATGAGGAAGAAAGATTGGGACAAGACACCTCATTAAAGATCTGGATTGGATAAGTCCTAGTAGAATCAAATTGCTATGCTTGCAGCGAAATTCAATTCCGGAGTAAGCTCCTCAATCTGATCTCCGGGATGAACAGCTACAAGTATGAAAAAAGATTAAAATGCAAAGAAGACATCAGAATAGGCACATGGAACGTAAAAACCATGGCACAGGAAGGTAAAATCCATAATGCAATACAAGAAATGGCACACACGAAATTAAATATTCTGGGAATAAGCGAAATGCGTTGGACAGGTTCAGGAACCGCAAACATTGGGGAACACCGCGTTTACTATTCTGAAACAGATAACGACCAAAATGAATTGCGTGTCGGCATTATATTGACACAAGAAGTGACAAAATCTGTTGAAAACTTCATCCCAATCTCAGCAAGAGTGATGCTCATACAACTAAAAGCAAGACCAATCGACATCAATATAATTCAAGTGTATAAACCTATAACAGAAGGAACAGAAGAAGAGATAGAAGAAGTACACCATGACATTAATCAAGTCGTGAAAAGGTTGAAAAAGCAAGACTTAAAAATTTGTCATGGGTGACTTCAACGCCAAAGTTGGGGCCAGCAAAACATCATCTCCAGTTGTACCATTTGGTCCAGGAATCCGGAACGATCGGGGAGATACGTTGGAGATTTTTGCGGAAGCAAATCAATTAGTAATAATGAACAGCTGGTGTAAGCTACACCCAAGTAAACTGTACACCTAGAAATCTCCTCAGGCTTCTGTGGGAAGGATTGTAAGAAATCAGATTGATTACATGCTAGTAAATAAAAGGTATAGGAATAGCTGTACATCTGTCACAACATACCCGGGGCCAGACATAAATTCCGATCATGTACCAGTTGTAAACAATTTCAAAGTCAGAATGAACAAGGTTACAAGTAAGTTGATAAAGAATTATGATGTTAGAAAACTGAAAGATCCCAATGTTCGACTGAAGGTGAGTGAAAACCTCAATACAAAGGTGCTAAAATGCAAAAATGCAGGAACTATAGAGGAAAGTCTGACCATCATACAAGAAACACTAAGAGAGATAAAAGAACAACCCCTGAAGAAAGATACAGAGAAACGGAAATCGTGGATGATCGATGAAATACTTGAACTTGTGAATCAGAGAAAAAAAAACGAATAAAATCTCCAAGAATATAAGAGAATACATACCATCATCAAAAGAAAAATAAGAGAAGCCAAAGAGAAACAAAAAACAGAACAATGTCAAGAAATAGAGGAGCATCAGAGTCGATACGATAACTTAAACGTTATCGGTCGTGAAAGGTGAAGGAAATAGCTGGAAAGTTCCAAAAACGCAACAGCGGAAAAATAACAGATGATGAAGGCAATCTTGCCATAACCAGCAAAGATAAAAAGAAAGTACGGGAAGAATATTTCTAGAAGCTTTTCCATGACCTTAAAACAATAAAAGAACCCACCATTGAAGAATATTCAGGTCCCGAAATCCTACCAGAAGAAATAACGGCAGCCGTCAGACAAATGAAGGATGGAAAGGCACCGGGACTTGAAATTCCTGCAGAACTGTTGAAGCTATTAGATGAAGGACAAATAAAAATAATAACTGAAATATTTAATGAAATATACAAGCCAGGAAAAATATCAGTCGGAGTTCGTACCGTTGCCCAAAAAACCTGGCGCAAAAGTTTGTGAAGATTATAGGACCATAGGCCTAATGAGCCATCTGCTGAAGCTGTTTTTAAAAGTCACCCACAAAAGAATTTACCGAAAATACGAGAAACAAATTGCGCCCAATCAGTTTGGATTTGTGAACGCCGGTGGTACGAGGGAAGCTTTATTTAGCGTGCAGGTATTGTTTCAGAAATGTAGAGATGTCAGCTGTAATGTTTTTGCATACCTGATAAACTACAAGAAGGCTTTCGATAGAGTCAGACATGAACAAATGATGGAAGTGCTGAAGAGGACAGGCTGTGACGGAAATGACTTAAAAATAATAGCTAACCTGTATTGGAATCAATCAGCGGTACTCCGAATAGATGAAGAATATACAGATCAGGTCAAAATCTTAAGGGGAGTGAGGCAGGGGTGCATAATTTCACCACTGATATTCAACCTGTACTCGGAGTACATTTTTGAAGAGGCTCTAAAATATATTGACGAAGGCATCTCAATAAGTGGAGTTAAGCTCAATAACCTGCGGTATGCAGATGATACAATAGTGTTTTCCAATACCATAGAAGGGCTACAAAACAATGAACAAAATAACGGAAACAAGTAGAAAAATCGACTGGATATAAATACTAGGAAAACCAAGCTAATGATTATCAGCAAGGAAAACATAACTGGAGCAAATCTGTATGTGAACCAAATGAGAATGGAACGAGTCTCACACTACAACTACTTAAGAACTATAATCGATGAGTCGTGCGACAATACCCAAGAGATTAAATGTCGCATCAGAAAGGCAAAAAGTGCATTCTTAACTATGGGTTCTGTGTTCAAGAGCCATGACCTCACCCTAGAAACAAAAATAAGGCTCCTTAAATATTATGTGTACTCAGTGCTTCTGTACGGAGTAGAAACGTGGACATTGAAGTCGGAAACTCTATCAAAACTTCAGGCTTTTGAGTTATGGCCATACAGAAGGATCCTGAAGATACCATGGACAGATAAAATCCGATAAAAAAGTACTGCGGGGGATCAATACAACTGTGGATTTGGTCAACGTCGTGAAGGGCCGTAAGCTGTAGTCCTTGGGACATATAATGAGAAATCAAGGCAGAGACGAGCTACTTCAATACATTTTGCAAGGTAACATTTAAAGAAAAATGGGCCATGGGAAACGAAGAAGAATATCCCGGATTGCTGACCTGAGAGCATGGTATAGAAAGACCTCAACACAGCTATTTCATATAGCAACCAACAAAGTCATCATATCCCTAATGATTGCCAACGCTCGGAATGGACAGGCACCCTAAGAAGAAGAAACAATTCTCAATTTTTATGTATCAACCTTGTACTTGTAAATATCACTACTAGTTTGCTTTTGTGTAATAAACACTTCCAGTATTGATCGCTGGTTTTAATTCTAATATTAGTGCTTTTTCAAATAATTAAGAACTCCTACATTATATATGCTACTTTTTGTAAATAATACATGTGTTTGATGCCTGTGTATAGTAAATGGAAAACTGAAAACCAACACTGTGTTTCGTTTATAAATGAAAGGTTAGAATGAGAAAGGGGAGACCCATGAGGAATGTATCAATGCGCATGCCAAAACAGTTTTACACATGAAGTCTCCTACAAAATCAAATCATTCATACACATGTTTTATTTAGTTGGGGGCTGAATATACCAAACAAAAGGGAAATTTTTATATCAAATAAAAGGATAATTATATTAATCCCGTTAATAAATTTAAAAGTTGATAAGATTAATTTAAATAAAAAAATTAATAATATTTACAAATAACAACGGAATACGGACTAAAAAAAAGCAGAAACCTAGATTTTTATAATTATTAAAATTAAAATTAATTAAAATTAAAACTATGAATATTAAGCATTACGATTTAAATGAAATACGTACCTTAGAACTAGCACTTATTGTTTCTGATACGCTCTTGTTAGCTTCTGCTACTGCTTTCAGCAGAAGATTCTTATTAGGCTGCGACGAAATTGCCGGCAGAGATCTAGGTTTCACTTTAACCATGCTACGTACTGCTCTAGTTCTTAATTCGTCTTCAATTTCTGGTTCTTCGGAGGGTTTCTCCGGAATATGAATCTTTGACATTACACCAAGCCTACTATGAACACTCTTAAAAGAAAGAAAAAAATTAATAACAATAGAATAGAATAATCCTTCGTTTGTCGTATGTAATAAGCCTGTGGGGGTTGTAATGTTATAAATGTCACATGTTTGTTATTTTTCTTAAATAATTATTTTATTCATTTGTAAACTATCTCTTTTGTTTTACAGTTTTAATTTATTTTAGTTCTATTACCATGTACTCTTTATATATTCGCCGTATTCATACCCCGAAGATTATATTCTGCTACTTTGTAACATTTTAAAATTTCTTGGTATATATTGAAATCCCCTCGTATATATTTAAAACATCGAAGAATAATTTCCATGTATTTCTGTTTTCTATTCGTACAAGTTAAAAACACCCAAAAAGTAATTTCAATCCTCTTTGCGTCGCCGAGTTGATATAAAAACATTTTTAGTTTGTTTATGTATCACGGACGCGTATTTCTTTGGCATTTTCTTTTGATCGCATTTAATATTCTGCGTTTCCAATAAATATTTCCGTTTGTATGTTTTGTTTATACCAAATTAAGCGAATGATTTTTAAGAATTAACTCATTCTCGCTGAGGTCGCTGTCAGAGGTAGTTGGCTTCAGTGTGGGTCCAAATTGTTTGTCGAATTTGTAATGTTTCTCGTTTTTCGTTCCTTTTCATGGAAAATATGGAGTGTATAGCAGCAGTTCAATTAATAAATACAGCTAAAGTGAGATTTGAAATGTTGCCATTGTGTCCAGCTGTACCTATTCCCGTTTTTTAAGAAGCTGAGTTTCCAAAGTTTGTGTTCCAGTGACCCAATTTTCAATCTTAATTTTGTCTTGTCCTATCGCAGTTTGGAGATGAATTTGTTCGTGTTGCGGTGAATCTAACTCCAGTTCTCCCAGAAATTCTAAAGTTTAGTGAAGTCCCGTTACAAGAAGTTTAAAGTAAAGAAATTTTAGTGCAATCCAGGTAACTTTTGTGTTTAAATTTTAAAGGAAAAATAAGAACAAACATTTTTATTTATAATTGCTTTCATAAGAGTTTGTAAAGATAATTTTTCATTTGTAATAATTTATTTCTGTCATAAATTATAGCCCAGTAACAATAGTAAGTGTTTCTCTTTGTTATTTTTGTATTTCGTTTGGTGACTATTACTATAGTATTTTTGTATTGTCTATTTTTGTAACTGTTTGTGGTGAGAAAACAACAAATATTAACTGTCTTTTCCTTTTTATTCCGATTACTCTGAACGAGTACCAGAAACCAATTCGCTAAGGATTTTTGCTTAGTTGAGGAGATATGACGTGGAATGCAAATTTTAGATTCCCCATGTCTCTAATAACATCTTTATCAACGTCTGTTTTGATTTGCAATTCTTAGAAGGCACAGATTAAAGCAAAAATCTGAATTTGGTTTCGAAAATTAGTTTACAGATGTTAACAACAATAACTGTTTAATTTTTTTCCTACACCATTTTGTTTATTTCTCTTAACTAACTCTCTAACCCCATGTTTGAGTTTCACTTAAAAAGATATATTTTTCATTTCTAATAATTATTTCAATAGTTACAACTAGTTGCTGCAATCGTTATAATTTGGCACCTCGACGTGGCGTCCATTTGTCCAGGAGATTCATGTAAGTACCCCTTTGTTTAATTTTTTTTTGTAGTTACCCCAATTCAATCATTCACTTATTCACGACCCAGCTCTCCAAATAGACCCTGAGTGCCGTAAGTTTCGTTTATTTTGCTTGCCCTTTCTCTGTCCCAATACCTTCTGTTCCCAATTTTCAATCCCCTATAATAACACCCTATGTAGTAGGCAAAATATTTCGTTACAACTTACATATAAAACTTACAGTCATATAAAATTATTTGCGTTGGCAACTCTGACTTGACATTTCTGAAATGCCAAATTTGCTTCTAAGTAACGGATGCGCGAAATTTTTTTTCTATATCTTTTCTGTATATAAAGTGGAATTTTTGTTCCGAAACCTATTTTTACTCTTTAAATCGAATCTTGGGGTGAGTATTCGTTAACAATTAAGTAGCTAATATTCTACAAATATTTAATGCTTTCTTATCATACTCTTTTTTATTTATTTTTCAATCAAAACCTACCCAATCTCTATATGCCATGTGCTCTTTTCGAATTTATTAACGATATATGTAGATCATCATCATCATCATCATCCAGCCTTCATTTATCCCGTCCACTGCTGGACAAACTCCCTTAAACTCATCAATTCTTTGCGATTTTGTGCTCTTTGTTGCCAATTTTTCGTGATACGCCTAATGTCGTCAGCCCAACGTGTAGGTGGTCTTCCTCTACTACGTTTGTCTGCTCTTGGCCTCCAATGTGTAATTTTGCTCGTCCATCGTGAGTCATGCATTCTCGATACATGGCCTGCCCAATTCCTTTTAAATTCCGCTCTATGCGTTCCACAACATCAGCAATGCTCATCCTTCTTCGCAGATCTTCGTTTCTTGTTCGGTCTCGCAACGAAACTCCCAACATGGATCATTCCATTCGTCTCTTTGCTACTTTCGATTTTGAAGCCGTTGTCTTGGTTAGAGTCATAGTTTCCTCCCTATAGGTCATGACCGGTAATACGCATTGGTAAAATACTTTTCTTTTGAGGCTAATTGGTATGTTGGCTCTAAGTGGGTCTCGTAGTTTTCCAAAGGCTGCCCACGCTAAAAATAATTCGTCTTTGGATTTCGCATGTTTGGTTATCCCTGATGCTTCTTATTTCGTGACTCATATACGTATATTTCTCCACCAGTTCTACCACATTGTTTTGAATAGTTAAATGGTTATTGGGGACCATATTTGTAATAAACTTAAATTTGGACAAGTTCATTCTGAGGCCCACCTTCGAACATTCAAAGTCTAATTCATTTAACATATCTGTGGCTTCTCCTAAATCATCTGCGATAAGGACAATGTCATCTGCGAAACGGAGATGGTTAAGTTTTTCGCTGTCTATTGTTACTCCCATGTGGTCCCAATTGACCATCTTAAAGGCACACTCTAATGCCGTTATGAATAATTTCGGTGACAATGTATCTCCTTGCCTTATTCCACTTTTATTTTATTGGTCGGGTTTTATCCTGTATCTTAACAGCCATAGTGGCATTTTTGTAAATATTGTAAATAAGTTCACTATATCTATGGTCAACTCTGCTGTCGTTCATTGCTACTATAAGGCTGTCTATTTCGATCGTGTCAAAAGCTTTATTAAAATTTATGAAAATAAAGGACAAGAGGTTTGTTGTATTCCATAGATTTTTCAATTAGCGTCTTTATTGTATGGAGGTACCATAATTTGATCGGAATCTTGACTGCTCTCTCGGTTGGTAGAAATCTAATTTTCTCTCCAATCTTAATGTCACTAAACTAGAGAAGAGCTTGTACATATATGTGGTTCAACAGGCTAATAGGTCTATAATTTTCTAGGTCCGTTCTATGTCCTTTTTTTTAAAGATGGTTATAGCATTGTTCCATTCTTTGAGCACTTCTATTTGTTGCAAACATATATTAAATAGTGTCCTTGATTGATTTAATAGAATATCTCCTCCATTTACGACAGTTTCTATTACACTTCCATCCTCTCCTGAGGCTTTGTTATTTTTCATTTTTCTTAACGCTTGTCGAATCTACATTTATTTCTGGCATTAGTTCGGAACCTTGATTCATGATCTTTGAAATCGCTGTTTGTATTCCTGTTTGATCTTCTCGTCTACTTTCATATAATTTCTCGTAGAATTCTCCGACGACCTGTATTAACTCGTCTCTAAATAATATTAAAATATCTGATCAAAATATGTAGATGGGATCTTTTAATTTATCCTTGCTATTTTCTTTAAAAAAAAATTGTTTTTCTATATCATCGCAAGACAATATTTAAATTTATGCTCCCGCTAATTAAAATTTCCTTTTGTAGTTTTCTCCATAATAAAATCCGTCTTGTCCCCTTTTTTTGGACCAAAACCATGTAGTCCACCACATATAGCAGGCTAAAGTACCATGAAGAAGACAAAAAGTACCTAACAACAGATATTGCTACAACTTCAGCTACATCAATAAGTACCTAAAAACTACAGCTACTACTACAATTTATATATATATATATATATATATATATATATATATATATATATATATATATATTATATATATATATATATATATATATATATATATAATACAATATTGACAGAATTGAAACAAACCTTATCTGATCGTTTGCGAGCTTCTTCAGATCCAATTGAATCCCTTTTACTCCTTGACACCCTCCTGTCATCGGATCTCCTTCCATCACTCCTATCTCTATCATTTCTAGATCTCTTATGTTTCTTTTCATCCTTAGAACTATGTCTATCCGATCCCCGCTTCCGACTTTTAAACTCTGCATCAGATAAACTTAATCTCCTTTTCTTTGAATCGGTGTCACTAGAAGAAACTCTTTTTCCTAACCTCGATAGCACAGAACTCTTTCTAGGCGGTGTTGTTGAAAAGTCTTCCTTTTCAAATGTGATTGGAGATGGTCTTTTTGGTTTTTCGGGTGTGTAGCTGGTTTGATGGTCAGAATCATCCATGGGATCAGTACCTTGATCTTCTATCTGTAATTCCACTTCTCGTTCTACTGAATTTTCTTTATGAACAGGTGTTTCAGTCTTGACTAGAAAGAAAAAACGATTTCAAATAAAAAATTATCCTAAATCAGAGGCAGCATTTGCACAATTCAAATAATTATTGACAGCAAGATGAATACATCACTTAGGTTTAGATCTGTCAAATTGTTATACCAATGGCAAATGGTGTGTGGTCTAGACAAATAAAAAAACACAAACACCAATAAGCTCAAAGACATTTGATAACCTGTGAAAGATACCACGATAACCAGTGCTACCAGCTACTAACAATAATATGTTATGTTAACAATTTATTTAACTTTGTGATAGAGAGAGAGAGAGAGAGAGAGAGAGAAAAGAGAGAGAGAGAGAGAGAGAGAGAGAGAGAGGAGAGAGAGAGAGAGAGGAGAGAGAGAGAGAGAGAGAGAGAGAGGAGAGAGAGAGAGAGAGAGAGAGAGGAGAGAGAGAGAGAGAGAGAGAGAGAGAGAGAGAGAGAGAGAGAGAGAGAGAGAGAGGATAGAGAAAATAATCTATCTTTATTTGCCTTCCTCACCCGGCACAAGATCCGAATATACACAAAATACACATAAATTATTAAATATTTTCTTCTTCGATGATAGGTTTGCTAAGCCTAGCTGCTGTGGTTTTGGTTGCCCCACATATTCCCACTCCAATTCTGTACATAAGCTGGTAAATTGTCGATATTTAAATTTTGGTCTTTTTTGCACTTTGAAAACATATTTCCACTGTACTATCCGCACTTTTTACACTATTTTGGTGTAGAAATGCTTTAAATATGCTAAGCACAATTAATGTTTTGATTATAGATAAGGCAGATTTAACTGAAATGAACCCAGAAAGACTTAAACCTATAAACCCATTTTTAAGACTACGAACAAAACAGGCCTGTCTTCAAGACTTTACAAACCTAACTATGTCTTCCCCTTTCCCCATGAATTTCGAAATTACACGCCATTCTGAACTTTACAAACGTAACTCTGTCCTCCACTCCTATTATCTTTTGAATTTCAAAATTATTTCTAATTCTTTACTAGATACCGTTTATCGATCCGCATATCCTTCAAAGTACTTTTCTTGCAAACATTATAAGATCGAAATCATCTGATATGTTGTTTTGCACCAGGTTTTAGCAGCGAGGTGACAACGGATCTTATCAAAGTCCAGCATAACTTAATTTTAGTTTCTCTGGACAGCAATGTGGCCATCACGTTAACAAAATAAACCCTGTTTTTCTCCATAATTCTTTTTTTACTTTTTTTAGATTTTCTGATCTAGTCTACGGTGTCTCATAACATGACCGAAGTAATGGTACAAATGTCTTATAGCCAAATGCCAGTGATAAACGTGTCTCGCCTGAATTAAGAAGAAAAAGAAGAATAAGATGAGCGACATATTCTAGTTTTAATTTTTACAATGCAACTTCCTGTTTTTTACCCATTATTTCCAGTACTTCCCTGTTCATAATATGGTCTATCCAGGGTATTGGGAGAATTTTATACATCCATATTACGAAGGTCGAGTGTTTTTTCATTAATTGTCCTGCCAGGGTCCAAGCTTCCACCCCATATAATATAACTATGAATACGTAACATTTGATTAATCGGATGTTTAATGGCAGCGAAATGATGCAGTAAAACTTACCCCGCTGGTAAATATATTCTTCCTCTTAATAAAGCTTGATCTTGTTTTTTCAATCATGGACCTAATCTCCTTAAAAACGCAATCATGTTCTCTTCAATGTGGACAGTTGTTCCGAGGTAGATAAACTTTTCTACATCTTCTATAGGTGTCCCAGTCAATGTTAGATTATCTGTCGATATTCTGTTTTTCCTAATGACCATCCATTTTATTCTTAATGTTTTTAGTTTTAATCCGTAGGTTTTAGATATTTCATTGACCCTTTACAGTAGATTATGCACATCTTCAAAGCTGCAGGCTATAATGGCAGTCTCTCTCTTCTCTCTTTGTCAACTATTTTCCATCCACTCCTGAATGTAGGTCTCTCCCAATTGCTTCCATCCTTCTCTATCTTGCGCCAATCTAATCCACTGCTTGCCTGCCACTGCTCTTATGTCATCAACCCATCTTTTTTGAAGTCTTCCCATGCTTCTTGTTGTCGTCCTTGGTCTCCATTCTAGAATTCTCCGTGTCCACCTATTGACATTATATCGGCCTGCGCAACGCCATTTCATTTTTGTAATTTCTTCCACACTATCCCTAATCTTCGTTCTACGTCTTATCTCGGTGTTTCTAATCTTGTTTTTCAGTGATATTCCAAGCATGAAAATGGCAGTACTGTCCGCATATCTAATTTTACTTATTACCTCCCATTCATTATTCTGCTTTCTGTAGCATCATAAAATACCTCGTCAAACAGGAGCTTCTGAGTACAAAACATCAACATCAAACATCAACAACTCTAGATAACATCCTTTACGATCTCCCTTTTTAATTGAGATATTTTTTGACAAGCCTTTATTGACTCTCATTTTTTGCCGATGGTTCCAATAGGCTTGTTATGATTCTGATGTCTTTCGAATCCATACCTGCATCTTTGAGAAATTTTATTAGTTTTTCGAGCTTACATTATCGAACGCCTTTGAGAAATCTAAGAAACAGAAAAATACATCCCGGTTCATGTCTCTGTATTTTTGTATGAGCACTTAACCCTCCTTCCCACGGGTGGGGTCTATCAGTACACCTATAAATGAAATTGCTTAATTTTTTCAATTTTTTTTTTGTATTTTTTTCCTAGACTCGGTGTACCTTTTAATGGCACTGAATAGTACACTTTTGCATAATTTGGTGAAATTGTATGAATCGCTTCAATTGCTACCTGTAAAAGTATCCTGACAGACCCCACCCGTGGGTGGGCGTTTCTTGTTTTGTGCTATGGCTTGGCTAATATTGCAGCTATAAATTCATTTATTATATACAAAGATACGAATGCAGAATTTCGGTCTTCTCGTCAATTGTTTCTGAAGTCTTTAGGAATTGCGTTAGTCCAGAAAAATATGAAAATACGAGCGCTAAATATGCGTATACCGAGAACATCATGGTTACTTGCCGCAAAATTTTCTGAGCAAACGACGAGGGATTACCCAGCCCCGGGAAAACGGGGATGGTGTAAGTATTGTAAAAAACGAAAAAATAGTTATTTTTGACAATTGTGCAAAAACTGGTTATATATGGAACATCATGTTGTGCCGGTTGTGTATGAACAAAATTAACAATATTTAATCCCCTCTATTTTCTGTTTCGAATTTTAATTTTGGATATTTAGTTTTTACTTGTATTGCTGTAAGTATATAGAGTAATAATATTGTCTTTTTTATAATTTTCTTTTGTATTTTACCGTTCATGATTTTTTTAATAATCTCTTGTAAAAAAATAGTGGTGGTAGTTATTTCGCAATAAGCTATACCAATACATATTGATACACATATTATATGTACATTTAGGTAGTACAACGTTACATCAGTAAGTTTCCTTAAAAATATTTAAAAAAAAATTTTTGTGATGAAAAAATGATGTTTAAAATTTGGTTCTGATAGACCCCACCCGTGGATTTGTGTCACAAGAAAGTCACGCCTGGAAAGGAGGGTTAAGCGAGAAAATAGCCTCTTGGGTCCCAAAAGGTCCTTTAAAGCCAAACTGGTTTCTGACACCTTTTGACTCACATTTATTAGAGTGAGGGAATATACCACAACCATATGTGTTGTTGAACGGTAGTAGTACCTTATCAATGAAATAACAGTGCCGCGCATCAATTTAAGAAGCTCTCCGTGAATACCATCAGCGCCAGGTACCTTATTTTTCTTCATGGATTAAATGTCTTTCAGGCTGAAAAGTTCACATACTGTTCAGAATAAGCAACGCCTTGAAAAAGTAACTATTATAAACCAATTAAGTCAGTACAAAAGATACATAGATTTGAAAGTTAAAAAGTGTATTATGAGATATTACAAAAATACTCTCATCTAGAGATTCATCAACTTTTTAGTGGAACTGTTTTTAATTATACAGTCTAAACGTCATTACTGTGCTCATAACTTAAAAACTTGTCTATTTGGAGATTTTTTTAATAGACAACTTTATCAGAAAAAAAAAAGATACACAAAATAAGATGCTAAATTAAAATCGGAATTTAATTTAGCATATCTGATTTTGTGTATCTTTTTTTTCTGAAAATTTGTCTGTTGACGTCAAATCTCTAGACAACTATTTTAGTTATGAGCATAATAATGAGTTTGACGTTTTGATTATTTATTTATAAATGGTTCTACTAAAAAAATTATGAATCCCTATTGGCGATACTTGGAGGGGATACGAAGTACTTGGAGGGGATACGAGAAACGATCGTGCGCAAGTAGCGGAGAAATCTTCCATTTTTTACTGCACATTTCATAGATTTCATAAATTCATATTGTCAATTGTCATATTCGTTTGTTTATTTACACCCATAGAGAAATAATTTTTATTTCTCTATGTTGAGGACTGGACAGTACAAACCATAATGTCTTGAGTGAAAAAGAATGAGCCTTGAAACGTTGGAGATTTAATTAATTAGCTTAAGTATAATAGAGACATTAGCCATTACTTTTCTTAGTTCTAAGCTATTAAGGTTCAGTATCTTTTTAACTTCAATCATCTTCTCCATGTAAGTGTTGATTTGAAATGAAGCAAATATATAACTTTGTTCAACTCAAGCACCCTTATTTGCCGTAAGTATACTACAATATCATTTAATCAAATGAGCGTTTCATCAAATAAAACACACATACCTTTAGCTGTACCTTGTAGCATTTGCAAATTCTTTTAAATATACATTGACATATATTGAAATACCCTCGTATCTGCTAAAGTATCGAAGAATGATTTCAGTTCCTATTTGTACAAATTAAAAAAACCCAAATAGTATTTCGTTCTATTTTACGTCGCCATCGAGTCGATAATGAACCATTTTATTGTTTGTTTATATCACAGGCGCAAATTCTTCGATACTTTTCTTTGTTCGAACCGCTCGATACTGCGTTTTCAAATTAATATTTTGCGTTTCAGTTCCCGTTGTAAGTGTTTTGTTTATTCCAAGTTATGTGAATTAATTTTACAGATAATTTCATCACTCTCGGTTGAGGCGTCGTCAAGAGCGGTAGGCTTCAGCGTTATGTCAAATTCTGCGTCGAATTTGAAATATTTTCTTATTTTGTGTTCCTTTTTATGGAAAAATAGTAGCAGTTTATTCAGTTAAATATGTAGTTGCAGTCTAATTCTACCTGTCCCAGTTTTTTAAGGAGAAAAGTTTCCAAAGTTTGTGTTCCGATGCCCCAACTTATCACCTCAGTAATTCACAGTGTGAGATTCAGTCCTTTTGTTCATGTGTCAGAGTTTATGTTCCAGTTACAGAAAATTCACAGTGTGTGAAATGCAGGTAACTTTTTTTGTGTTAAAATTTAAAATAAAGATAGACATTTTTTAAATAATACTAATTTGCTTTCATTAAAATTTAAGAATTTGTCATAATTAAAATTATATGTCTTAGAGCGTGGTTAGCTGTCATTTTAATGGTTCTGTTTTAAAATTTAATGTTAACGTATGACAGCTAGCTTTATTATTTTTGGTATTCATTTGTTTTGCCTTTAAAGAAGGTTAACCTCCATTGCAGTAACAATTTCTTTGTAAGTTTTTGTAGTATCTCCAAATAGAGTTTGTAAACGGCTAGGACACATGTAAGTTTTTCTTTGTATTTTGCGACTATTGATATATTTTTACATTGCCTATTTTATAACTGTTTGTGGTGAGACACAATGAATGTTCAATTTTTTTAACCATTTTGTTTATTTCTCTCTCTACCCCTTTTTTTGAGTTTCATGTAGAAAAAATATATTTTTTATTTTTAATAATTATTATTTAAATATTTACAACTAGCTGTTGTAATCGTTATAATTTGGCACCTCCAAGCGGCGTCCTTTTTAAATTGCTAGAGGTGTTTCCTTTTGTTTTGTTTGTCCCAAGATATTCATGTTAGTACCCCTTTGTTTCATTTTTTTGTAGTTGCCCCAATCCAACCCCTTTGTCATTTATTTATCCACGACCCCAGATCTCCAAACAAACCCTGAGTGCCGTTCTCACAAGTATCGATTTGTTTTGCTTGCCCTATCTCGACCTCCATAATTTCTGTCTCCAATTTTCTACCCCTTATAGTAATACCTCATGTGGTAGGCAAAATATCTTCGTTACAACCTATAGATAATCATTAATATTCATAAATTAATATTAAAAAAATATAAATAAATCTTTTGTTAAATAAAGCTTATTTGAGATTTTGGGATAAAAAATTTATTTCTTTACCTTTTTCTGTTTTTAATTTAATGAGCATTTCCTCGTCTACATCACTATCGACTGTGATTCCTAATCTACTCTTTACATTTCTAATTTTTCTTTCAATTTCTTCAAGATCTTTAGCCGCGGTAGAATTCATTTCAGAGAAAATTGAAGTACTAAACTCAGTGTTGCTTGTTTCTTCATCTGTATTATTTTGTGTTGAACCTCTAAAAACCATTAAATAATTATAAAAATAGAATTGTACAGTTACACAAATACAAATTTCGAGCAAAAATAATTTCATACATGTACACTCACACCTATATATGTACATACATACAATAGGTAAAAAACATACAGTGTGCTCCAAAGAGTTTTACACAAATAGAGAAAACGCATGAACAAGAATATAAATTTTTATTCTTTGTTACAGGTTCATTGATATAAAACTACCCGTTATACACAAAGTACATGGTTCGATTGAAGATAAAAGTCCAATGTTAGCAAAAACAGTTTCAAAAATAAAATATAAAAGGTTAATTCCGTTAAATTACTCTCTCTATACTCTTTTCGGACTGTCTTCAACAGGCCATTCACGTTCCGATTTTTAGTCCGACTAGTGGTTCAGCTTTCCTCAGTCAGTTAACCTTCGGCACCTGTTATGAATAAAATTTCTATGAATTACTTTACCGCAAAGATCCCTAGTTTGCAAATATTTAATAGAAAAACTTTCAATTACACGAACATTACCAATATTAAAATAAACGATTCATAATCATCACCTACTTTTTGTTAGGGAAAATTATTTTCCTTTCTGTAGATCTATTTCGGACATTCCCACACAGGTATAATTTCCAACACTCCGGATTGACTACAGAACAATTATCAACAAACAACGAAAATTAAATCATACTTGTAATGGATGTTGATACATTTGAGCTAGTGTAAATGTGTAACAGTTTAGTGTAAAAAGCAGAGTATAGTGCTGTGAAGTTATTGCATGCTAGTTGTAGTGCATTAGTTAATAGATAAAATAAGAGTAAGCCATAGGGTAAGCCCTTAGATTTAAGTATTTGCTGTTATTATGTTAGGTCAGAAAATAACTGATAATTGGTCATTTGTGACCAGATAGCAGTATACAAACACCGCGCAGGTGTTAATAAAAAAAAAAAAATACTTGTAATGGAATTAGAACTAACTGTTTCTTTATATTGTTCTGAAGTTATTTTCTTGTGGCATCTTATGCAAATTTACTATTTTAATTGGGAATAAGCCACAATATTAGTTAAAAATTAAATTTATTGGACGTTTCGACTTCAACTTTGAAATATTTTGATAACGATTTCCGAAGTGAAAGTCCAAACGTCAAATACATTTAATTTCTAACTCATATTGTGGCTTATTCCCAATTAAAATAGTAAATTTACTACAAGATCATTTTGTAACTGATATTTCCTCCCTGCTTACAACATCAGCCACAAACAAAATCTCACTTGGTGCTGTCTGTCCGATATCGCTGAGCAAAGATCCCTAGCTCGCAAATAAATAATAGAAAATAACTTTCAATTTCACGAAAAATTATTATAGCCCTGCAAGTTTCTGGTATCATATTTCCCAATAGTTGTGGAGATATTTTACAGCTGAACTTCAGATCCTCAAATGACCTTCCAGTGGCCAGAAAGTGTAAAGTTGCTACAAGGCGTTGTTCAGTACTGACACATTTATGCATGATAGATATCTTTTTGGAAATGAGTAGACCAACTTTTTCCAGCAACAGCGAAACAATGAACTTGTCCATTCTGAGGTAGTTTTTGTAATCATTTTCATCAATGAAATTGAACAATTTCGTGTCACAGTTCACATGATCAACAAATAATTTCATCTTCAACATTTCTTCTTCTTTTTTTTTTCAAATGATAAGGATAACAAGCACAATGCTGAAATTTTGCTCCTCCCAATTATATTTTGCGTAGTGTTTACTCGATACATTTTTTACTTAAGCGATGTACTATATATATATATATATATATATATATATATATATATATATATATATATATATATATATATATATATATACATTTTTTACTTAAGTGATGTACTATATATATATATATATATTTACGGCATCAAGTGGACTCCGCCCATGTTAAAATTCAGGTTCAGGTGAGCTCCGTGGTCAAGTGGACACCGATATACGGAGCTCACTTGACCATTCCATAATATTGGCTCTGTCGATTCGTCAACATGTATAGTTTCATAATTTTTAAAAAAATTTTGGAGCCCATAATTATCCCTGTATCATAAATGTATATCGCTTAGTTCACGTGTATATATTATAGGGGTCGTTCAGATCTTTTTTACTGTATATTGGAACCATATGTATATCGGTTTAAGTAAGCTCTGATAGTTTGGCAACTCTGCTATAAGATGTATAATTCTCGCGTAAAGTCTGGACGGTTTATATGGACTCCTTAGTTTTGTTATCATTCATACGCATTACAGTGTGTAACAGATATATATATATACTATTAACTACCTGTTTTTGGTAGGTACGAGTTCTCTAAAAATAGCTTTATAGATACAAAAGGATTTCATTACCAAATTGGATTTTGTTTCATATGCGGAAATTTCCTAATGTATTTTGTTAACGTGAATATGTCTTCATAAGTTTTATTTAAGAATCCGATTAATAAGAACTTCTTTTATTTCATCCATTGTTTTATGATATCTTGTATACAGCTTTTTTATTATTTTATTTCTGGTTTTATCTATGTACTACATATAAGTTTGGATAAAAGGTTATCTCAAAATAAATATTTAAGTGCTAAAATGGATATTTTTCTGTAAAAATGGGTAGTAGTGCACAAAAAAAGAAAGAATTTATCTAACAAGAATTATACCACTTCTCCAATATTACATACTTCTAAATGTTTTATTTTCTATTTAGGGGTAATATGTTATCAATATAAGTGGAGTTAGTTTCAAATTTGCAATGATCTTTATAAGTAAAAGCTTACTGGCTATACTTAACATGTTTAGTTCAAATAAATAAACCTTGTCCCTTGAGAAAAGAGCGATTTGAATGGAAAAGTCAACTAAGAAAGTGTGATGAATCTTATACCACCCCACATTCACACAGGTTAACCGGTGTTTTCAGGCAATAGTCCTTTAGGCAAATTTAAGGAAGATAACAACCATAAGGAAGTTCCTTTCGAGGGTTTAGAAGGCGAGGAGCAGCTTATATTTTTTTTTTGTATATCTTGCAGATGTGATGATCTGATGACTGACTAATTTATAGCTAAATATACTTACGTGTTAAGTATGTGTTTTTGTCACCCATACTAGCAAGGTATATTCGGCAGCATAAGCATAGAGTTTAAGTCTACGTTTTAAGGGTGGAAGAATGTGCTTCCTATTTTGAGCTGACAAGTTTGCGGAGAATATTCTTTTTCTGGTTCTAGGTTGCCATTTGGTTTTAAACAAAGTTCTGTGATAGAAACTATCTTCAAGGTAGTTATAGCAAGTTCAAAGTTTAAGGATTTCATGACACTATTGGTTCAGGTATATCTTTAGATTTGTGAAAGCGTCTCTATTAGGGACATTTCCGGGGTTTGGCTTAAAATTGATTTATAATCTATTTTTATTATTTCTAATCCTATTCCTAGTACTACTTAAAACTAAACATTTGTCATCATTGTCCGGTTTATTTAGTAATTCTTCTTTCTCTACTCGTTGCTTGGCCTCTCCTTGGTTCTTTTTATGTTGCTCTGGTAGTTTTTTGAACACGCTATTTCCAACATTTTTTCTTCTTTATAGCACCATCTCCATTCCTTGCCGTCTACTGTGATTTTATTGTATCCTATTTTGACCATTTTTCCATTTTCCCTCATTTCTCTTGCTTTATCTCTTAAAGCTTCCATTTTGTCTCTCTCTCTCCTTTTGTGAGATCCTCTGTAATCCATATTTTTTTGATCTTCACATTCTTAAGTTTGTATTTGTTTCTTAAGATTGTTGTTTTTTCTTCTTCGCTTTCTAATTCAATTAAGCATGTTTTTGTTCCTATTTTTTGTGCTCTTTTAATATTGGTTTTGACTCCAAAATGATTTTCTAATATAGTAGTCATTCCCTCTTTCAATGTTTTTGGGTCTTCAGAGTCTATTTTTGATCCACTGATGATTATATTCTTTTTTCTTTGTCTAACCTTTCTAATGAGCGTTTTAGATCATTTAATTCTTCCGTTATCTTTTTGTTACCGGTTTTGGTTAGTTCGTTTTCTCTTTTCGGTTCTTCTTTCTCTTTTGTCCATTCTTCCTTCACCCTTTCTATTTCCAGTTTTATGCTTTTTATTTCTTCGTTATTTTGTTTTATCTCTTCTTTAACTTCATTTATATATCTTCTCATCTCCTTATTTTCTTCCTTTATTTCTGTTTTCAGCTCTTTTATTTCCGTTTTAATCTCCTTATTTATTTCTTCTAGTAGTTTCTTTAGTTCTTTCATTTCGCGATTTTTTATGTTATCCTTTGGAGATGTTCTTAACGTGGCTTTGCTTCTTTTGATGGCTTCCTCCTCGTCGAATGATTTATCGTGTTCTGGCTCTATTTCTGTTCATTCGATTTAGTTATTGTATTACATTTACTTTTAATTTATTATTTTAATTTAATTTAATTCTAATCCCAACTTTAATCAAATCTATTTTAAGGCCAGATCTGGATTTTTGTAATAAAATTATGTGGCTTTTATTTTGATCATTAATTTCTTGTCAGCACTAATTACTTTCTTATCTGCCAAAAAAAAAAACAAAAACAAAAAACGCGTAGGAATGCCTAAGCAGGTCGACCCTTCGAACATTCGCCAAAACCACTTTTTTAATCTTTCACTCAATTATTCATTTACTTAAGACTTATTAACAGCCTACTAAAATAGAAATATCGCCTATTTAAGACGTAATCCATTACCGGCCCAAGGTACAAAGCACTCCTGCTAATGATATAGATCTCATAAGAAACTCTCTCGTCCGCAAACATCTTCAATAAAGTGAAGAGAGCACGAAAAATTTTTCACTTAAAATCAACGAAATGAAAACCAGATACAAGCGAATCAACAAAAGAGACCAATTCAATAAATCTAGATAAAATATTAAAGTTAACAATCACAATTTCCAAAATATGGAACACTTTAAATATCTTATAAGATAAATTATCACGGTTAATAATAATGCCACTAA